ATGCACCAGATTGAATACCGAAGGCAATAAAGCAGAGGACGGCGCCAATCCATAGAAGGAGGGAAAAACCACCGAAAAGAGTCTTGCAAAATTTAACCCATTCAGGAGTTGTCTTAGGAGGTGTCAAGGCATTCGGTCCATCTCTTTCTAAACGAATCCTGATTTAGAAATAAAAACTCAATAGGAAACAAACTTGGCTTGCTCTGCAGAAAGACCACTGTTCGGGTCCGTTCCGAGTCGTGCATATAACTCATCGAGAGAAATTCTATGCTCATCCATATCTAACTCCTGTTTTAACTCATCCATATTTTGCTTATCCTTCTTCTTCTTTGACCCACCAGAGGTCGCAGCGCGATAGCTGTCGCCTCTCTAAAAATATGAAATAATAAATTGAAAACAAAGAGCATAAGGGTTATTTTAGTATTTAAAAAATAAAGAAATACTCAATAAAAAATTATAAATGAAGTTCAGCAACTTCATTATAGAATTAGCGACTCACAGCATTTGCCATTTCTGGTGAATATCCGGCGAACGGGCAGGGGCGAGAACAACTGAGGCGCTATTATGGACACCGTTCTAATAAGCGAACTTTTGTTTGGTGAATTTAAACGCAAATCTCTAATCTACGGTCATAAACTCTAAGATTATTTACTTTTAAAAGACAATTAAAATCACTATAAAAGTTTTTTAGAATTAAGCAAGACTGTTTTTTTTTATATTTTCTTTGCTATTTTGCTGTTTACTCGCATCTGGCTAAACTGATAAATGTAACTGTGCGTTATGGAAGAACGCAGTTTTGTCAAAATCAGGCAGCTTCAATAATTTACACCACAAATTATAAAACGATCCTATGACTTATATGGTTGCAGTTAGGAATACAAGCTGCATTTTATTATCTTTACTTCATTCATTTTCTACCCTTGAAGGCATCGATTTGATTTACTTTATGAACGCAAAGTTATAAGCGTACAACTGAAGAGATTTATGTTAAATGACCACCTATAAGTTTTTTAATTAATAACTATTCCGTATCGTAAGCACACGTATTATGTAAAAGCAAAATTCTACCTATTTTGTTTGAGGTTGAATTTTCCCACAATGAATCAAATAGGCCTTATGTTTAATTGAATTCCACATAGCTTTACCTCCCCAAAAGTACACTAATCCAGAGTAGACTACAAATTTGACCTTTCCAAGGTCTTATAAATATCCCTAGCTTTATTTGAATAAGGGTGGTGCAGAGGATAGGCTTAAATTGTTAACCACTATGCCACTCTACGTGACCGCAAGAGTAAATTTTAATAAAACCTAAGCCTTCCTAATATCACATTTCTTTGGTAGGATTGTTGATGAAGCAAAGTTCTATTTGATTTTGACTGTTGACTACATTACCTATTTCTCTCTTAACAAGTAGATTTTAAAGACCTCCAGTACCACATAGATAAGAGCTGAATTATGAATTTATCCATTGAATATGCTATTTAAACATTTATATAAAAATGAGTCTTATAGGTTTAGCATAATTCAAATAAAATAAATTTGGAGCTTGCTGCAACATCTTTATTGCAACATTGAAATGAACATGTTACTATCCATCTTAATTGTACTCAATTTAGATCTTAAATTAGCTCATGCTCCCAATAATAAACTATTAATTTTTAAAAAGTTACTTTGATGTAAATGTTTACACTGATTAATTTCACTCCTTTGAATATTATGTGGCTCGAAATAGATTATTAGTAATAAAATATTTCCTTAATTTAATATATTAGTTTCACCATCAAATGATATTAAGCAGTATCTTGATGAGCTCATTTCTACTATGAATAAAAAGGTTTCAAAAAGTTTCACAGGCCGTTTCTACCAAAAGAGGAAATTGTGTTCGCCAGCTGTCTTTTGACTTTCCTTGAAATTTTAATTTAAACTTTACTCAAGATAATCTC